TCGCTATTTATGAATAATTCAAATTAAGCTATATAGACCCATTGGGATATTATTGCAGTTTGTGGCTTTTCAGATCACTGCTGAATCAAAACTTATCGAATCGGCAAATATTCGGTTGGTCAATTTTTGCCAGATTTTCCAGAATCTTATCGAATTCGGCCGGTTACATCTGTTAGCAATCATTTATGTGAAGGAATCAAAAATTAGCTCGATTATAAAAGACATCATAATAAAAACATTGTGGAAGAATGTATGTTTGATATTTGAACAAGACATTATATGTTCTTTAATTGCAATATTTCTGCGAATAAGAATTTAAGTCTTAATTGACTTATTATAATTAAATAATATTTGAAAATCTTTATAAAAGCACTACTGTTATCTCTATGAATTATCATTTCAATAATGATTCTAAATATAATGAAATATATATATCGATAAAGATTCTTTGCAAAAATACTATAAATTCTTTAAATCTTAGGCATAATAAACCTGATTTTGAGGATGATGATGCAATAGAAACAAATTCCTCGAATCCTTTGAGTTCTTTAATAATCATTTTGATGCTAAAACATGGATAGTCTTAGCTCTTTGTAACAACACTACTCTAGCTTCTATGAATATTGGGTTTAATTATTTTAATCAGTATGGAAAAGCATTAGCAAGGGTGCTTTGCATAAACTCCACTCAGATTTTTTAATCCTTTTGAATAATCAACTTGATCAGAAGGAGAAATAGTATTAGCAGAAGCTCTTTGTAAGAACAATACCCTGACTCTTTGAATCCTGGTGTTAATCAATTTGTCCTAAAGTAAGAAAAGCATTAGCTAAGGCTCTTTGTAAGAATACTGACTTAAATTTAACCATTTTTATTTAAGAAAGTTTATTTTATAACTCATTCCAATCTGGTTTTGGTTCAACTAACAACCCTAACTAATTTGTTTAAATAGAGTTGTTAATAGAGTGTTCCAAACTACAATAAAACATATGAACCCTCCAGTTTAAAACTAGTGTGATTTATATGCTTTATTATGGTTTGGAGTATTCCATTAACAATTCTATTTAAATATTTAACAATCATCTTATTTTGACTAATAATATTATTTATAATACAGTCAGACCCCTAAATGCTACCCCCAAGTGCACGTCTTATGAAACACCTCCCTAAATGCACGTCTTCTCTTGGGCCCAACTAATATTACATCTATAGATTTTTACCTCCCTAAATGCAACACCACTCTAAGTGCACATTTGACTAAATTTTTATACATGGTCCCGTCGAATTGCATTTAGAGAGGTCTGACTGTATTATTTATAATATATAACTTTATCAATTATGTGATAATTTATCAAGATATAATTTGTTAAAAGAATAGGTTTTTTTTAATATGATAAATCGTAGTTTATAATATATAAAAGAAATTAAAAAAAATCAAGAAAAAAGGTATAATAACATGATGAGAATGTTAAAAAGACTTATAATAGGATGCTAAAACGTGAGATTAATTTTTAATAATCTTAAAGACTTCATATTCAGAAACGGAGAACTTTCTATGTTCTGTGATTTGGATCTCGTAATCATCTCGTTCAGAACTACAATTATTGGACTGACTAAAGTCACTATGCATCCAAAGATCTTTATCGCCAAAACAAGGACCATAGTTTTCATTCTTCAAGTTAATAGCATATTGACAATTTTTAATCCTGCTAATCTTTCCGTCTTCTAATAGACCTCTATTTTTAAATGAAAACAGAAAACTTTCTTTGGTTGCCAATTTTCCAGAACCGATTTGCCATCTTATAGGATTGTATCCGCCAATAATTTCAGAAGAGCCGGAAACCTTCATTACAACAAAGGTAGGTCCTTGATTATCACATTTTTGATGAAAAGTTTGTGAACGGAAGCCATCACGAGTTCCACGAATTAATAATTGAAATTTATAAGGAATGTCAGCAGCAGCTTTATAAGTAGAAATATTTTTCCTGTCAATCCATTCAGCGATTCTTATCATTTGCTGAAGGGTTATTAAAATAGAATTAACTCTTGATGAAGACGTAGATATACTATTAACTGTCAAATGATATTTAACAATATCATCCAATAATTCATCAGGTAGGAATGCTTTATACGGCCAAACTTTGTCGAAAATATCGCTACCAGACATTAGCGAAAATCTAATTAAAGGTAAACATTTGGAAAGGGCCAAAGCTAAGTCGGATTTTTTTGCATTCTTTTGAGCATTTCCCCATTTTATGACATGGCCCAAATTTCCACCTCCTTCATTTCAAAATTATCACATTCAAGTATCGATAATAAGAAAGATTCATCAATTTCTAGAAAGTCGGAAGATTTAAATATTAATTCAGGATTATCGTAAATTGTAGTTAATATTAATTCTTTTAAATTAGTATAATCATGTATTAATGCTGCTTGATGGATCTTTACGACATGAGAATGGAACCATTCTGATTTTGTTTTTATTAAATAATTTTGAATGAATTTTAATAGATCTGTAGGTGATAGTTTATCAGCAGCAGCTAATATTTCTAGCATCTCCGCTATTTCTCTATTATTTAACGTGATCTTTCCACTGTATATATAACTATAAAAAATATATTTATATGTCAATAATTTTGTTTATCCACTTATTTGCTTTTATCAAATTAATTTTTATTTCTTGA